ATTTAATTAAACTTTGTGTATATATTTTATTTAATTAAACTTTGTGTGTATATATTTTATTTAATTAAACTTTGTGTGTTGGTAGGTTTCCACAATGAGCAGCAGACGAAAGAGGGCCCCTCCTGTGAGGGTGGATGAAGAAGCCAAGAGGAGGTTGGAGTGGAACATGCTGGAGGACCGTAAGAACGAGGGGAACCAAGAAGATGACCCAACTCCAGCCTGTGCTGCTCTTTCCGCCGACACCACGCCCAGCAGCTCCTTCTTTTCTGCCACAGAAGACGGGAACATGGCCGCCTGCGCCCGCTCTGTGCAGTTTTCAGAAGAACTTCCCAGTACGTCTACGGATAGCGCCTCTACCTCCCTCGCACTCTCTGTGCTGCCAGCTTCGACGCTGGCCCACATCTGGAAGGCCCTCATCGGGGAGTTCAACATCCGGCCGACTTGGCTTCCAGCAGACTGTGAGCAGAGAGTGTTCGTGCTCTTCAGGAGGGGTGAGCAGCTCCACATCAGTTACAGCAGCTGTGAGGAGAGCTCAGGACCTCAGCGGAGGCCTGACGCCAGCAGCTCTGCAGCAGAGTGCAGTCTCAGTAGGATCCCACTGGAAGACCTGGACTGGCTGCAGAAGAGGCGGGTGCTGACGCTCGGCCACTACACAACAGACCAGGAAGTCAAGGTACGAGCTTTTCTTCTGAGGCGTTAAAAACAATTTCAACAAAGTTGGGACGCTGTGTAAAATGTAAACAAGGAACAGAATGATCTGACGATAAACCATATTTTATTCACAACAGAACAGGGTAAACATCAAATATTTAAATTAAGAAACAGCACTTTGAGAGGTGGCTGCAACACATGTTCAGAAACGTTTGTACAGTGCCAAGTTCATATCCGTGAAACGCCCCCTCTTCTTCTAACAACAGCTTGTAAATGTCCAGGACCAGAGGAGGCCAGCTGTTGGAGGGAATGTTGTCCCATTATGTTCTGATGGAGGATTCTGTGTGTTCAACACTCCTCTGTCGTCTTTGCTTGATTTTTCATGTGACGATGCACCAAATGTTTTCCACTGCGCTCCGGGACTCTTCCACTCCAAAGCCATGCAGTTTGTGGTTCAGCGCCGTCTTGCTGAAGTCCTCGAGGCCTCCCCTGGAAAAAAGACAAATGTTGTTCTAAAACCTCAACATTGTACAGTTTCTTAATTTAAACATTTATTTTCTTATGTAGTGAAGAAAAGATTATGGATTTCAGTTTTAAATGAAATATATATTTTACATTCATGGTACACTGTTGGGAATTGGATTTTAAATTGTGTGCGTGTTGTTTAGTACATGTCCCAAGAAAAAAAAACATTCAAGTTGAGTTGCAAAAAGTTGCTGTCATCTACCCCTGAAGGGGGAAAAGGCAATACTTGTCTAACCTGTGTGTTCATGTGGCTGTTAGCAAAATATCTCATGAACCACTTGACAGACTGTATTAAAACCTGCAAAAAGTAATCATTGGATGTTTACAACTGATTCATTTTCGGTGCCAACCCATTTCCAGTTCCAGGATGTTGGCATGAGCCAACACAAATAAACCTCCAACTCTAAATTTGACAGGAATGGAAGCAAAACTGGGCATGGTAGTAGCTGAGAGTCTTTCACGTGTACTTTAAGCACTGATTGCACAATATCCCATGAGATTCCATATAATGTTATTTTCAAGGTTTAAATGTAACATCTGTAATGCTCAATCATCATAAGATGATCATAGTTACAAACTGACATAAAAGGTAGTGGGCGATGTGCATTTCTTGAAGAAATGTTGGGATTTTAACTCAAATTTGTTCCATTTTTTTTAACTCGACCTTAAAATATCCAGCGTTCTTCGTGAGCCTTTCATTCAACCTTTATTTCGACAGGTTAGTCTCATTGAGTCACGAGGACTCGTTACAAGAGAGACCTGTAGATACATGTGTTGTTTATTAACGAGTCACCCACGATTTGGAGGTTTTCAAGAGATGCTTAACTGTAAGGAACCAGCAAGACAAACAACTTTTAATATTGACCCTCTGCACCACCACTGCAAGTTGTGAGCCTGGTACTTGAAAAGTAAGTGAGGCGACTTCCATTTCCGCGTGTCGCTGCATCCACACGTGCAAAAGGTCAAATATCAAATACTGGGTCGCCACGTCGAAATCCTAAATGACTCGCGCCATTTAAGTCCGTCTGTCCATGATGGGAGCCGGGTAACTTGAGCAATAAGCAACAGGCCGACTTCCATTTTGGTGAGTGGCTGTTTTTAGTTAGAAAGGTCAAAATAGAAACTTGGGTTGCCTCATCAAAATCCAAGATGGCCACCACCACAGCACCACCATATATATATAAATATATAAATAAACCTACCACCCCTATGATTTGAGGAAACTACTAGTTAAAAAAAAAAACTACTAATAGAAGTTTCCTCTATTCTTCTACATAATTTAACTTTTACCTTGCACCAAAACATTTGGGTTTACTTTCACTCCCTGGTCAATTTCAGATAAGAAAAACATTCATCTCAAAAACGACCAACATTCACTATTCAGGTCCTGCTTCACCTGTAGTTGTCTATTCAGCAGTGGTTTTGTTGTTTTCTGTTTGACAGGTGGGAATTTATCTGCTGGAGTCCGGACTCGGGAAGTCGGAGTTCCTCAGTGGCGGAAACGCTCGTCTGAAAAAAGCAAACCATCTGATTCAGAAATGCATGGAATATTTTTATGATTTCATCATTCCTGGTAGGTTTGTGAGCCTAAAATATAACCACCTGAGATCTTCTAATTACTAACAACTCTCACGGTCCTTTATGACTTTTTACTTTACTGTCGTGTTGTCACTGCAGAGGTTGTAGAGAATGAGGAAGAAGAATGTGACACTGACCTGGAGAGGCAAAATGTGGAGGAGCTTTATGATCACGTGAGGCTTGTGCACCAGAACGACAGCCAGGATGTGACGTACGACGTGCAGCACGAGGCTCTGGTTCCGGTGCTCCGGCTGTATCAGAGCCAGGCGGTCAACTGGATGCTGAGGAGGGAGAAGTACAGGAACACCGCTCCCAAAGGTAGTTTCCTCACGCGTGAAAATCTTGGTGCTAGAAAGGTGAAAACCTGGAAGCAAGGTGATGTTTTTGCCTCTTTTACACAATATGATTACTTTAAAGAGTGAAACGTTCAATTACACGTTTTTTTTTTAAACTAATGTTGTTGTTTTTTTGTAATTTAGAAACAGAAAACTACATATTTACTGTTTCTTTGCAGAACAATCGCTGCATTTTCTCTGGAGGGAGTTGGTTACTTTGTGTGGCAAGAAGTTGTTTTACAATCCTTTTACTGGCTGGTAAGAAGTCAGGATACTTTCTGTAAAATACTTAATTTGCAACAAGTACAAATACCACAAACAAAAAAGCAGAATTGTATTCATCCGGGTTCTCGTTTACTTTTTTAACCATTTGGTTGTCCACCTGTTTTCTGCTTTCTATCTCAGCTTAATTCGAGAGTTTCCTCTGGCTGGTGTGGACTGGCCCGGTGGGATCCTGGCGGACGAGATGGGACTCGGTAAAACGGTGGAGGTTCTGGCGCTCATCTTGTTTCACACCCGTCAGAACTTAAAGCAGGACGCCCTCACTCTGCCTGTGGTGAGGAGCAGCGGGGGTAGTTTTTAAAAAAACAGATATTTTACTTGATTCTTGAACCATTTACCACAGAGGATCATTTGTTACTTTACAAACACAGTTCTGAAAAGTTTATTGTATAAAATGTAAAACCCATAAAGCCCATATTTTACTGCAGAATGTGGTTTTGCATCATCTGCATGGACTTTCCTCAAGAAGATGTCTGGATGAGAGTACATGTTCTCTGCACATCATTTTCTACATTGATGGAGCTTTTCCAGATGTGTAATATGTGCATGTTGTGCACTAATGCACCCTCATACCAACAGAGAGGCAGGCTTTTTGAGCTGTGTGCTGATAACAGGCTTTGTGGTCCCTCTCCTCTTTAGTACGAGGAACATGGTTCAGATTTTGATTTGTCCGACTACAGAACAGGTTTTTATTTTTGGCCTCGCTTCAGTTTAGGTGAGCTTTGGCTCGGAGAAGATGGCAGCAGTTCTGGGTGGTGGTGTTTGCATGATAGAGCTTTAAGTTGTGGATGACACGATGAACCTCATTTACAGAAAATGGTTGGATTTTAGATGATGGGATTTTTAAAGTCCTTTTTTCCATTGAGGAACATTATTATGAAAGTTTAACTATTTTTCGATTACCATAAATGTTTTGCAGACTCAAGAACCTCTGCCCATTTTTACTTCTAACAGATTCAGTCTCTCTAAAATGCTTTTTATACGCAGTCTTCTTACTGACCTGATGGTGACCTGTTTCTTTCTTATTCCTATCACCTACTTTTACCCCATCTCATCTTTGAGATGTTTTGTTGCCATCAAATTTAAAATTAATTTAGTTTTTCAGAAAAGCTGTTCATTTCTCAATTCAAACTTTTGATAATGTTCCATTGTGAATAAAATACTGTTTAATAAGATTTGTACAATAATTTTTTTTTTTTTACATTTTGCACAACATCCCAGCTGTTTTTAGAATTGGAGTTGTATTTTAAAACACACTGAACACTCGGCATTCACCGAATGTGAAATATTAAATGGCTGTTTTTACTCTAAATCTCTGGGTTTTGCAGGGACAGTCTGTGAACTACTTTGTTCCTCGTCCTCTGGAAAGGCAGACAGCTAAACACCATAAAACTGAAGCTGAGCCAAAAATGAAAGCGTCTTACCCAGGTACGTCACTCTTACAAGCCTCTCACTCCTTGTTAGTCACTGATGTTTAACTCTTTCAATATGAGCGTGTTGCCCCCGCCGATATATTTTAGGTGGTAAAGGGTTAACTTCTTCTTTTTCGACTCACTTGTTTTGCAGCCGTGCGTGTTATGCTGCTCACCGCAATAAAGGAGATGCGATCCGGCAAAGGCGCCTCAGTCAACGCGGTGTTTACCTACATCCGAGCCACTTACGGCTACGACCTCTTGAAGAACCGCAGTCACATCAAGAAGACTCTGGCCAGGCTCGTGGGCGAGGGCGTGGTTCAGCAGGTGAAGGGCCGCGGCCTGGCCGGCTCCTTCAAGCTGGGGAAGAACTACAAAGAAACGAAAAAAACGTTAGCAGGAGCGTCCAAGTCTGTAAGTTCAAGTATTGTCATTTCACCACATGCGGTACATGAGGTGGAACAAAATTATTGATCAATTAATTATAATTAATTGGTAAGGATACGTGACTTATTTTAAAAATCATCGGTTCCTCCAGGATTTCAGAGTATTTTTGTTGTTGTTAGGCCCTAAAATGTCTTTACTTTATGGTAGTGTTGTAGTACTCGAGACCAGTCTTGGTCTTGAGACCGGTCTCAAGACCACTTTTTTATGGTCTTGGTCTTGTCTCAGACATTGAGGACTCGGGATTTTTATTTCAAGGCCAGTCAAGACCACAACTGTGGAAATATCACTAAATTGTCAGGATATTGTCCAGTTTATTTGTTAACATATTTGTTAATAAATAGCTTTTTTTCCTTCATTTCAAATTGTTTCTGAACTGTTTGTTCTCTGCTGGAGCCTTGTTTCTCTACTGCGATGAAGTTAGTTTTCCATTGGACGTTATCCGTTCGAGCTCCTGGTCTTCAGCGGTGTGTTCCTCTCGTTTGATCCGAAGCAGGCAGTCTGATTTCGATCAGCTGCGCTCAGTCTGCTCCTCCTCCGAGACGTAACGGATCGCTTCGGGACCGTCAGCAAATTACCGGACCAAACAGTCTTCAGAAACAAAAATTAATATTTTACATCATTTGACCCACTGACACAAAACTAATGTTAAGCTGCTCTAACAGACCTGACACACAAGACACCATCATTTATTTCTCAATTTAAAGCATTTTATTATTAGTTATTGAGTGAAAACCATGATTTTTGAACAAATAAATTATATAAAATTGGAAAATGCTTTAAAATGAGAAATAAATGAGGGTGCCTCGTCTGGTAGGTCTTGTAGAGTTTAACTTAAGTTTTGTGTCAGTGGGTCACATGACGTGAAAATTATTGTGCAAAAACCACTGAATGGTTTCTTTATGTAGCTTTGAAAATTTATAAAAGCTGATACATTCATTCAAAAGCAAACTTGACGTTGCAGTATGTAACTTGTATAAAAATATATATTTTTATAAAAAAGTTACATGTGTTTTTTACATATTTGTTAAAACTGTCACTATGTTGTGACAGTTTAGTATGAGACAGATAATCCGTGAAAAGATTGAGCTCCAAGACAAGAGGTCTTGGTCTCGGACCCCAAAAGTCTTGGTCTTGTCTCTGTCTCGGTACACTCTGGTCTTGGTTTTGACTTGGTCTCAGGGTGGTCTTGACTACAACACTCCTTTGTAGCAGTTTTTTTTTTTTTTTAACAAAGTTGCAACCTTTTAAAATTTTAGGAACAGTGGGAACACATTGATTTCCAAAATGGCTGCTTGTGTTTCACGTAAACTTTTCAAAGCTGCTTTAATAATTAAATCAAAGTAAATCATTTAATAATGTGTTTTTAATAACAGACAGACAGGGTTGACCCCAAGAGTTAATGAAGTTTTAAGTGTGTCGTGCTTGGAGATGATGCTCAGCTACTACCACACAGATCAGTCTTTTAAAACTTGCTGAATTAAAGGGGTTTTGCGTTCTCTAAGGTCAGGTGACTGTGGTTGCCATCTTGAATGAGGGCGATGCCACAAGTTAATCAGTTGTAGAACATTGCACCTTCTGCAAGTTTAGGAGCCAAACCAATTCAAGATGGCTGCTTCAAATAAGCAATAAAAATAAATAAATATGACGATTTTACATCCAGCGTATTGAACATAAAGTTGTTGTGGGAGTAGCGTAGACTGACCCCCACCGTGTATTTGGAGTGTCACCAGAATGTGCAAAGCTTTTGTATAATGTTTTGTCATCTTTATCATTTGAACCACCAGATGAATTTTAGTCAAAATGGCTTTTTTGTAGCTTTTCAAAACTTATTTAGATGCAGTGTTCTTTCATACTTTTTGCACCTTGCTCAGATCCAAAAACTAAAACCTCAGTCTTATCCGAGTTTAAAAGCAGAAAATTAAGGGTCACCCAGGTTTTTATGTCTTTAAGACATGCTTGTAGTCTAAGTACTATGCTTGTAGTCTGAATAGTCGACGCCTACTTTGCGTAACTTTGATCTGTTTTCTTCTGTTAGAGTTTTAAAAGTGTGGAGAGCACTCCCAGGAAAATGTTTCAGAGACGGGCAAAGGAGAAGGCAGAAGCAGCTCTGCAGAACGCCCTCTCAGAGGACCAGAGAGACCCGAGCCTTGCGCCCGACTCTCCCGAAGCAGAGGAAACTGAAACCAAGGACTGGAGCGAAAGTCTGAAGGAGACAAACGATCAGCCAGAAGACATGCTGGATACTTCCACAGCACCCTTACAGATGTCTCAGGATAAAACTGAGCCACAGATAATGGACGATTTACCTGAAGACAAAGGAGAAACCTCAAAGATTGACTCGCAGGAGGACACGCCCACCAGAGCCTCTTCAGTCCCTTTCAACACCCCCGACTATCGCTTTGAGTGCATTTGTGGAGAACTGGGCATCGTTGACTTTAAGGCTCGTGTGCAGTGTCTGAACTGTCAGCTGTGGCAGCACGCCGACTGTGTGAACTACAAAGAGGAAAGCCTTAAAACCACACCTTTCTACTGCCCCCACTGCCTGGTAGCTATGAAGCCGGTGTCCACGGGCGCCACGCTCATCATTTCTCCAAGCTCCATCTGCCACCAGTGGGTGGAGGAGATCAACCGGCACGTCCGGTCCTCCTCTCTACGAGTGCTGGTACAGTACGTCGTCTTATCGGTTTTCACTCCTTCCTTTGTATTTTAAACTGAAAAGCTGCTGCATCATTCTCCTCTTTGTCCTCCATCCAACCGTCAGGCCGTTCATCCATCTGTCCTTCCGTCTGTCTGTGCATGTTGTGAGCATGATGACTTCCATCCATCCATCCATGCATCCATCCATCCATCCATCCATGCATCCATCCATTAATCCATTATCTTTTACCCACTTCTTTTTTGGGGGGGGTCATGGGGGTCACTGATGCCAATATCCAGCTATCACTGTGTGAGAGGCAGGGTACACCTGGACAGGTCTCCAGTCCATCACAGGGACACCTGGACAGGTC